ATCACAACAGTTTTGTACCCATATACTTGTAAACAGGAATATTCAATCATGTTTCACATCAGTATGTGATTTGTTGAATTGCTCATTTCTGGCATTGTTTCACAAGCCATTTATATATTAATTGTAAAAGGTCTATATTGTTGAAGCATGAAAATATATTTCATTTTACAGACCTTTTTATTGACAACAAAAGGCAAATTTATTCTTATTTTAACTGGATAACTTTTCTGTCAGATTAACTGAACAAAACATAATCATATTCTGACCATTTTATTCAACAACTCAAAATACATTCTTCTTAACCCCTTCACACACACTAAAATGCAACAACAAACTTGTTCAAGTATGAAAAGGAATTGATGTTTGAAACTAAACTATTACAACAAACATCTCACAAATACTTTGAATTGCACATGTTGCTATATGTGACATAACTGAAACTATCTTCTTATAGGTAGCAATAGCCATACTGTTTAATGACTAGATGTACAGTACAATCAGACTGATAATGATAACTTTAATACACCAGAACTTGTACAAGCATTAAACATTTCAAGTCATTATGTTATTACAGGTGTGAGAATACTATGTTACAGAAATACACTATAAATGTATGAAATATTAGTAAACATTTTTCTTGTGCTAATAAACAGTCAGAGCCAAATTAATTATTTTTTGGACAGGAAAAATTGTCTAGGGGCCTTCAGGACTAGACTTCATAAATAAGTAAAATACAATGCAGTACTATTTATTAATTATAGTTCAAGCAATACACAAACACAAGTGATGGGTAGGTAATATACAAAATCTAATATTTATGATAAATGTAGTGACAACAAATTTGTTTGTTAAATGGCCAAGAAAATATTTATGAACAAGTTGTAAAAACATGTTAAAGAAATATTATAAAATAATAGGTTTATATGAAATTACTAAAATTACTGTTGTCATAGTGACATAGTTACAAATATGTTTTTCAATGAAGCATCCAGTGTTTGATTTTTCTCTCTTTTATTTTCGGGTGGGGGGCAGGTGTCCCCATTCCCTCCCCCTCTTTCTTCTCCCTTTAACTTGGCCATATATATGTTTCAAGTCATAAAAGAAAAAATAAGCTTAAGACCCTAATTTATTTCTCACTCTCAATCTTACATTAAACCATTAACTATAAACAAATTGTCACAGTATCCTGTATAGGTAAAGGATTTTTTTTTTTTTCATTTACCAAATACATTTAACAAATAAGAGATCAGTTATTCTTAAATAACAATTAAGACCATGTTGTTAGATGGGTGAACCTAAACAAACCTCCAGTAAACAACTTTTAAGTCTTGATACATTCTTATCTGAAAAAGATTGGTGTTTAACTTTTATCATCAAAATATTGAAAAAAACCTTTAGGTTTATTAAAGATTTTACACTTGCCTTAACTTATTTATGATCTGGCCAAACTTGGACCTTACCTTTTCTTACCTGTACCACCCATAACCTAGTGTATATTCAGTCTGCATCAAAAGAAACAGAATGCTATTCTCTTGTTTACTTAAGATACACATATTGTATTTTGACCAGAAAATGATATGTAGATGGTAATAGTAGTAGTAGTTTTTTTTTTTGAACCAAGAAGTGACAGAGGGACAAAAAAATTGCATTGAGTATAGAGTTATTGTGAATCTCCACCGTACACTAGTACACATATAATTGGTTTAAGTTTCCTTATAAGAGGATAACCAAAGTCTTTGGAGAAGGCCATACAGCTGAGTTTTATCACAAACAGCCCACACCAAGTTATATATTCATATAAATCTACAATCTGTAAACATGAAATTAAAGGATTTTATTACAAACTTAAACAATAAAATTGTACAAATTGAATATTTTCACACACAATCTACACAACTTTAGCAGGTAGACTGTACATGAATTTCACATCTATGGTGCATATATTTTTATGTTTTGTAAGTTTGTATTTCTTATCTTATTTTTAATACACAGGTCTATTAGTTTCTTCCTTATTGAGCCAAAAAAATCCAAACTTTGCAAACAGGTTTATCAAGTATCTAAAAGTAGTTAGTCCAATTTTATAACTTTCTTGAACACACAAAACATTCATGCATCAATAGCCACCACTGCTGTAGTTATAGTTCTTTGTTATAAAGAGAAAGAAAAAAATATACGAGTTGTTAGATTGGATATTACTTGATATTTCAGGTTCTGACATTGTACAGGTGGAAAGTAGATCATTCAGTACTGTCCTTAATAGTATATTTGTGTGAAAGGTCATTCACAACTATGTTTTTATCAAAACTTTATACTAGACTACATAAAAATGTCATTAATGAAATTATGGGCTCACAAGATGATTCCCAATGCTTCTGTTGTGTGAAACACCACTTAAATCTTTTTTTTTCTAGAAGTATTCTAATATAAAGATTCATTGTAATTATTGTCCAAAAAACTGCCTTTCAAATCAGTCAAGTCATTATTTACATGTAGTACTGAATTTTATATTTGTTTCTCTTATACTTGATTATAAGTTTGCCAGTGAGTTTTCTTTATTTGTATATGACCACTGTTCTATACTTAAGAAACATATTTTTACATATCAGTGGTATTTAAATTGATAATTACATTTTGCCTCAAGTCTTGTATACACATGAAATTAACAGTTGTATAGCACTAGTAACAGCATTTTCATCACCATGTAGCTGTTCTCAGTAATGCTCTAATTCTTCCTGCCTTAAATTACATGTATTCAAGTTGTTTAACTATAGGAAATGTTGTTTTAATGATCCAGGTGAAAATGTTTGTATTGTATACAGTATGTTAAAACCTCTGTTGTGTAAAATTGTATATTTTGTGAAATTGGGGTTTTGTATTTTTATATCCTCTTGCTTCAAAGAAAAGTCCTGTTAAATCAGTATTCTACTTTTCTCAACTAAACTGTGATGTACATGTATATCTTAAATTGAAACATTGTTGCAATGGCTATAAGTATTATACTGTAATCAGGAACAGAATTATAAAATGAATGGATGCACAACATCCAATACCTGGTATCTGTAGATCAAAGATATAATGACCAAAATCACTGCACTCTTATAATTCATGAATGGATGCACAAATTCCAATACCTGGTATCTGTAGATCAAAGATATATAATGACCAAAATCACTGCACTCTTTATAATTCATGAATGGATGCACAAAATCCAATACCTGATATCTGTAGATCAAAGATATAATGACCAAAATCACTGCACTCTTATAATTCATTGGTACTCCATTTGTCCTGTTTGTTATCTAGATGCCTGAAGTTCTTTATTATGTTTATATAGTACACCTGGTACCATTTTTAGAACAATTGTGTGCTTTAACTTTGTATATTTCCAAAGTTTTGGTATAACAAAACAAAATGATATCAAACACAAGTCTCCAGCACAAAATAGCTTTTTTTTAGTAAAGTGTGGATTAAAAGTCTGATCATCAATTAACCAAATTTTGACTTTTGTATTTCTTCACCCCATTACCTGACCAGATGGAAAAAGCATTTAATTTTTATTACCTGGAACAATTCATTGCACTAAATTTGGTGTCAGTAACATGTGGTAGGATGTTACCTATTAAGTGATTTGTTGTAGAGTTACCCGAGAAATAATATACATAATTATATTAATTTCCCTATATATGAAAAATTATTGACATTTTAAGTACTTTTAATGTGAAAATGACCTATTGAAACTCAATTTTCTAAGTATGTAATGTGTACCTTTAGATAAATAACTCTAGTATAATCATGTTTTGAATGGGCTTGAAGGAGAGTACATGTAGATATGACTGGAAACTAGTTAGAATAGTTGCTAATTTCAAAATTTCATGCAGAATTTTTTTTAAATTATCACTTGTACACGTGTAAATATGCTTGACTATTTTCTGCTCAATCAGCTTACACTATGTGAGTGTTGAAGAAAGTAGAGTGGGCTCAACTCTTAATCTAGCTGTTGTTTAAAGTTTTTTAAATGATAGGTTTAAAATGAAGTATTCACTGTTAGCAATTTCATTTTATATATATATATTACATATGCAGCAGCTAAACCTGCTGAACATGTAACTTTTAAACACATTTTTTTTCTACTTCTTGGTACATTGTACACGTACTCTTGTAGGTGGTAATAGACCTACTTATCCAGTTTTGTTGCAGCTGCTGCTATTGTAATAATAACAAACTTATTAAGGTTTTTGGATATTGGCAAGTTATGTGTTGTTGTTTTTTTTTTTGGTTTCTTATGTATGGTACCTGTACGGTAACAAAGGTTTCTTTCAACTTTACTTCTGAATTTTGTGATCCAAGGCATCCATACATTCACTGTTTCAGTAATTAAACCAGGAAAGCATATATTGGTAATTGTAATTGTACAATTGTATGCCAAAACAATATGTTGTTTTTTTCTTTATTTCTTCTGCCTCATAGTTGCTCAGCAGTAAGTCTGAAGGCTTATGCTAAAAACTGAGTTATATACCTGTAGTGGGGTACAGCACAAATAGCCCATTGTGTAACTTTGTGCTTAAGAAGAAACAAGCAAACAAACTATATTTCTCCTAACACAAATGAAATAAATATATATTAAAAAAACATGTATCACTGAAACTAAGTGTGGTGTAAAGTATATTATATTTGTCAATTAAATGAACCATGGCAAAAATGCATAGAAAACTCAGTCTATATTACCTGTACTTACCTCCATACAGAGTGCATTGCACAGAGTGGTGCATCAGTTATTGCACCACCATGATTTTTTATGTCCTGCCCTTCAATTGTTTGAAATGTGCACCATTAATGAAATATCACCCAGTTATTGTAACAAAATTGAGGCAGTGAAACATAAACATGACTCAGAATAATCATAGGAGGGGCAGGACTTAAAAATATCTTGGTGTGAAAATTTTTCATCACGCTGTACAAAGTTCAAGTTTATTTTATGATAATTTCTTTTTTTTTTTCAGGTCCCTTGCTGTAGGAACTAAGACTGGATATAAATTATTTTCTTTGAATTATGTGGATAAATTTGAAAAGATTTATGAAAATGGTGAGTTGAAATTTTTTAATCTAAAATTTTATTTTTATTGGGAAGTTCATTAAGTAAGATTGGAGTAAGCAAATCAGCTTTTATGAAATCCATTAATTTTTAGCTTAGAGGCCTATTGCCTAGACAAAATGAGTAACAGTTAATGATACAAAACTGTTTTTCTTCATGTATAAAATAACCTTCAAGGTTAAAAACAACTTTTATTTTATTTATTGGAACATTTGTTTCTTCTACTTAACACTTTCAAGCAAATTTTGATCTAAGGTTGTTTACATTACATTAATTCTGGAAAAATGCTAGATCAGAAAATCTCAAAATATCTATTGACACTGTGTTGAAAACAATTACTAGACTCAGATGATGTATTCATTATTGATACTAGTGAACAAGTAAGTCTACATTTATATTAGAAGAAAAGCATCATCAGCTCACTCTTTTGTTAGTAATTATAATGTTTAACTTTAGCTTTTATGGAATTGTAATTAGTTTGGAATGAATTCTTTGTGCAATTTTTGGTTTTTGATGTGTATTTGTTAAATTGTTTTGTGTTAGTCATGGCCAATTGACATCACCATAGTGTTTAAAATTCATGTAAAGATTAGACTAAGGTCTTTCACAATTATCTCAAATGGAAATATAATTATAAACATTAAAATTCTCACCTGTAAAGTCATTCATCCATAAACTTTCTTAGTAAATACAGAGTTAAAAGAGAAATCAGGCCACAGCAAATTGTCCATTATAATAAAGTGTCGTTCAGAGTTCATCTTGAAGTGATTCTAAAGTTACACATAGTTAGTGATACTGTGTATATTGTTCGGTTGAATTAAGTTAGTGAATGTAGTGTTCATGATTGAGTGAGAGATCTGCTTCATAAGATTAGTGTGGTACCTCTTGAACTTATATTTATATAGCTAAAGTAACCTTTGGTTAAAATCATGATTGTATTTTAATGAATGATGTGGCTTCACCTTTTAGAGGATTTGGAAATTCAGTCCATTGGTTTTGTTTTATTGAAGAATGTTTATGCAAGTTAATGTACATATCAGATATATTATTTCTACATAAACATCCCATATTTATGTTTCTAAAATGCCTGAATCATATGTAAGTTCTAAAATATCTTTGTTAATAAAAAAATGAAGGATATTCCAAGCAATTTAAGGATGCTGGAAGAGAGTAACCAAAAATGTGACTGAAATTTGAGGACTGTGGTCAGACATGTAAAAATGAGATGATTGCATTAGGCTGAAAGCTCAAATAGAAGCTAAGAACATATGGAAAACTGTGAAACGTATTGTGGTTAATAAGATCATTAGTATCCATGAAAATGTATAAGTGTTGTTGAAAATTCCATGAAGGAGATCAAAATAAATTGTGATAATATACAAAGCTGGTTTGATGATATACAGAATTGGCAAATATCTGTCTTCCCATCTTTTCAGTGGGCTATCTTAATTTTATGTATTTAAAAAAAAAAGATTTTAGCACCAGTTCAGACCATTCCTATAATTATTTTTTAAATACATAAAAGAAAGAGAACTTTTTTTTTTCTGAGTGCTGGAACTTCTAAGTTATGACAGTTAGTACTTATCTCTGATTTGCATTCATGACTGCACATTTTGCCATGGTTATTTTTAGAAAACTCCCCAAAATAGAATGGCCTTCTACTGATTCAGAAATCATCATCCCACTCCCACCCCCCAAAAAAAAGGTTTCTACAAAGAGAGCAGAGGGTCAGTAACTGCCATAATAAGGTGTGGCAGGTTTCTTTAGTCTGTGACAAAAGGTATAGTCATATTACTTATCAGGTATAATTTGCACACAACTTTAAGTGTTTCAGCTTGTATTCAAAGTTTAGAGAGAAAAAACATATATATGAAAAATTTATTTGAATCATACTGTAACATGGTAGAAATTTTGTTTTCTTCAATAATTTAAAAGTTAAAAGATGCCTGGCCACTGCTGAAATGAGGGTCAGCAAGGCAAACAAATTAGCATGTGACACAAATTTTAATAACTATGTTTACACAATATAATAGCAAAAAAAATTAATTTTTTTGTGTATATCAGAAGTTCATGCTTTGGAAAAATTTATTAAGTTATTGTTTCATATAATCAAGGGTTTCATTCCTGGACCCTAGTTTTGACACACTGTCTTCAAATTCTGGCTGGCAACTTTATAAGTGTAATACGTGACCAGCAAGACAAGGAGACATGCAATGTGACACACACACACACTCTCAAAAGGATATTTAGTATTTTATTTTTAATGCATTTTTTCAAATTAAAAAACTATAACATATATAATATTACAATATGAATTATAAACTACATTTTGATGCCAATTTTATTGACATGCATTAATAATAAAGTTTAATTAAATTTGGAAAATAACATTTAAACATCAAACATATGGCCTTTGATGTGTCTGTAGCTAGAGGGTTAACCAGTTTGTTATGAAATGTGCTATGTATGCTAGTATGATACTTTATCAATAATAATCTTTAAAAATAGCAGAGAGCAAATGTATTTTCAAAATTACCCTTTATTTGTAAATAGTCATTTCAATATCTCTTTTTGAAATGAAAATTGTTTTGAAGCTAAATGTAGCATCAAAAACTGGATTAAAATGCTTTTATGACATTGAATTTTCTATTATCAGGCCCTGCACAAAGTGTTTTGAAAACTGTCACATAGTTGTTCAGTGTTATTTCTATTATTCCCCAAAGCCTAGTTACTGCAAGTGTCACCTCTTGAACAGTTTTAATGCCTTTTATCTTCAGTTTTTGTGTGCTATTCCAATATAAATCCCCTTTAAGAAAATTCCACAGCCAAAATTCTGCTGGTATAATGTCTGGGATTCTCATGGGCCGGGAAGTGCTCATATGTTTTTCTCTTTGGAATTGCCTTTTGACTAAAGTAAAACACATTGCGCAATCCTATACATTAACACATTGTTATGAATTTTATTCAGATCATAAGTTTCATATTGCTGAAACTTATGAAGCCTCTAATAGTACTGAAAATGACTATTTCAACTTCATCATTATGCTGGTCAGAGACCCATGGTTGCAACAGCATTATTGTAATATTTTCTACATTTTCTTTAAATTGTCAAATTAATGAATGCTGTGTGAATAATAAAAAGAATCACTCAAATTGAGTCAGGTAATTCTAAACCCAATGGGTGCTGGGGTTTTCAAGTACCTGTGGTGAAATCTAGTAAAAACTACTGTCCCATTGGATGCATAAGAAATTTTGGCAGGCTGTAAATGGGATAAGGATCTGGATACTTTTACTGGCAAGTTGCTAATTACTAATGTAGCTGCATCCAGTGATGAAACACTTTTACACATTTTTAGGATGTATATATGGGCATAGTTTTTTTACCTTTGGGCAATAATTTCCATTCATGAAAAAGGTAAATCCTTGCTGTTGAGTGACATCTTATTTCTCATAATTGCTTTATGACGGATATCATTTAAGTGTTTGGAGATACACTGCTGATTTTTATTGTTTTCAATCAGTATATTAATACCATTTAGTTTTAGCCAGCATTATTCACACAATTGTGCACAACCAAATTGTAGAGGCAGTTATATTGCATAACTTCAAGGTTTCTTAATTCATTGAATTGGTTGACATAAAGTAATAAGCAAATTTATGTAATGCATTATGCAGTGTCTAATAACAATAATCATTTAAGTTTTTAACGTATATGCTAATTTTATTTTTGAAATAAAATGTTATATAATTTTCCTATGATTACAAGTAAAATCAACACTTAAGTCACAACTACATTATTCCCCAGGGTTAGGTAATAGACAAGATTGATGCCTATCTTCCAATAAAACATATGGTTTCAAAAGTAACATACGACATAGTGACATGTACTGTATTTGGAGAATGTAAGAAAACAAACTATTAAATAATACAAATACATACATATTTATATTCCATCAACAGTAAACTTGCATTAAAGAAATATTAAATGCTATTAACCACTTCTCATAAGAATGATTAATGTAGTTATTGAATCTCAGTGTTTATTTATGTCGACATTGTGTCTGTTACTGATATAATAGATAGAATGTATATATCTTGCAAAAATATAAAAACAACAACAGTTTATTACAAGACTCAATAGGCCCTAAAAGTCTCCATTAATATGTCTCATGAATGCTTTCCACAGAGTGAACTCTTGCAGTTCCAGATCAATTTCAGATAATGACAGCCTAAGCTATCTCACTTCTGGAACTGGAAAAAAAAAGTTACAGTAACAAATTGTAATTGGAACACACTAAAAATACACAACTTTGCATGACTTCAGTTTGTTTATATAAAGCTACACAATGGGGTATCTATGCTGTGCCCAAAATGAATAATAAAACCCATTTTTTAGCTTTATAAACATGATTTCAGAATTGGTTTTAAAAAAAAATCTTAGACAGCACACAGATACTGATAGTGCTATTAACAATAGAAGCATGACAAGTCACACTTATGTGCTGACTGTAGCTTCTGTTGTATGCCATATACACTACATTTAATGTTAATATCTGATTGTGTGTCATTCATAAAATAAGTTATATTTTAAATGGACCTCAATGTTAACATGGAAACTTTCATGTGATAGTTTTTAATTATCATACATACAACACTTATGCATTTATTTTGGATAAGAAGATTACAGCAGCAATTTAAATTAGAAAAAGACCATAAGGGATAGATAAAGTAACTGCAACATCAATAGTTCCACTAGGAAACAACAACAATACAGTGGTAAACTGGAAAATGATAGTGTACCACATATTTAAAAAAAAACTTCTGTTTGGTTCTTTGCTACAACACTGATTTCGACAAAGATAAGAATCATATTCTTTGCTGTGGCCAACTTAATAGAATAAGAAAATCTCTTACTCGTTAAATGTACTTTAAATTCTATAATGTACTGGTTCAGTAAATACATACATAGTTTCCAAGAAAATCAAACAATAGCAAGATAAAAAAGTACTAAGCTGATAGAAATCTGTCTACTTTATCAGTGAACAGTGCAGCATGATATACGATGTACAAAATTACTACTGTAGATACGTCATTTTATTAGCACCTTGTATATTCTATTCCTGTAATTATTTGAGATTAGAGAAAATACATCAAAATTTATGTTTTAATCAACTACATATTTTTAAATAATAATGGGAATAAAAACATAACATGTTTATTATATCTCATTTGTATATAAATATAGCAAAAATATATTTTTAAAACTGATTTTTAGAGTATTGTGAGTAATTTTTTATGTTAATTCATTTTTTAACTGCTGCATTAAATAATCTTGATAAAATAAATACTAATATAAAAAAAGAACATTTCATTGTAGCCTGAAGATTAATATATTTGCTTATGGGAAGTTTTTAGGCTTGTGAAAGATGTACTTGGCTTAAATTTGTCATAATGTTTCATCTAGTTAAACAGAGCTGTCTCAAAACTAATTTAATAACCTATTTTTGTAACATGAGGCTAATCCTATGTGATTTCTACTGAAGGTGATATTTATAACAATCTAATTTACTAAACTTCAAAGCTCTGATGCTGTGTTATGTTCAATAGGAAATTCCCAAGGCCCATTGTACTACTTCTTAGAGCAGTGTTGTAATTGAAGAGCCTGCATACCTGAATGTAACAATCATGAGTTGTATCAAAAACCAATAAAACAGGCATGATCATGTGTTTCAGATATAAAACTGTTTGTATAATAATGTGACCAGATTTTGCAGCAGTAAAACAGTTTCTATTTAGATCTAGTAGAATGATTTACAATTCAAATTAGTCCAGGACTCTTTGAAATTCTTTCAAACAACATTCTACTTATAGATCTTTAAAATGGTTTTGTCAAGAAAAAAAATGAAAGATGAGTTATTTTTTTATTTAAGAGTCCATAAAGTTTGAAAAAGTTAAGTTCGAAGCTCTCTTTAAATTTCTTCTACATATTTAATGCATTAAGTGAATTGGATGATAGTAGTGAAGTGAATACTGGCCCCTTTTATTGGAAATGGGAGACCTGCAACCCTGTACCAATGCCTGTGAAGCCTTTAAAGTTTCCTCTTCAAGGTAAGATATCACAATACCAGCAATGTAACACTATACATTATCTTGCATCAAGGAAATATCTGGTCTAATTGTACCCATGAAAGGTTGTATAGTTTAATCCAGCATTATGTCAATCTTCCCTTCAGAAGCACGGTAATGTTTATACTGATGCCTTATCACACCATAACTAAACCACTATTAAAATGGTTATATTCAGTGATGTTACATTTTGTTGTTCACTACTAGCTGTCCAAACATGAACTCATCAATTATTTTAGAGACATCAAACATTGACTTATCTGTGAAAACTATAGGTTTCCTGTGACTTTCTTCCCAATTCTATTGATCTCCAGAAAAGTCCAAAGAAGTTGTGAGGCTGAATCAGGTCTTCTCAATTTTAAAGTCTGTTTCTTACCATTTAGTCATTACTGATTCTAATTACTGTCCCAAGTGGACATGTTATGCAAATAGTGGTCATTAAACTCTACTGTACAAATTAAATTGTGATTGTCTGATATCTTGCTCTAAACCTTCCCACTACAGGCATTAATACATCAAAATGAACTGCTACTTGCCATTATGTTTGTCCAGTTTCCAACATTTGAACAGCTCTAACAGTCTGTGTTTTTACTTAGCACCTCTGCCTTCCACCAACAGACAAGTTCTTATACAATGATATGGAAATAACCAAAATTGAAGAACAAACAAACAAGAAGTCAATGAATTATCAAATATAATGTAATGTTGATATTTTGAATTGTAATTAGGTGTAATTTTCCAGTTTCATATTAATGAATTAAATTTTTTGCATTAGTGTAATTCTTCACTCTTTTTTATTGGTTCATTTCATTTTAGGAGCCAAATACTTCTAAATCCTGCTTAAGGAAAATACTTTCTGACACACATTGTACACTTGACATGTATTGTGACATTAACTGCTTTAAAAGACCTGAAAGATTTCTAAATTCACTAATGAAGTTCTAAAATGCTTGTATTGTATTTTTGCCTCTTTTTATGACTAAAAAAGCTTCAAAAAAATATGTTTTTGTACTACTATGATAAATTTAATTTTATTGATAAAAATTTTTAAATTAAGTATTTTTTTTATATTTTTACTTTGTTTTTTATAGCCACATGTAGTATTTCTAATATAAAAAAGCATAATATTTTTGTGTATAAATTAACCAGTTTTTCTCTCTCTTTACAGATAGTGAAGATATTTGCATTGTCGAGAGACTGTTTTCTTCAAGTCTGGTGGCCATTGTCAGTCTTTCATCCCCTCGAAAGCTCAAAGTCTGCCATTTCAAGAAGGGAACAGAAATCTGCAACTATAGCTACTCTAATACTATCTTAGCTGTCAAACTAAATAGAGCTGTGAGTATCAAATGTAAATTAAAAGTTTAACACATTTTTTCTAACTACACTTCTAGATGTATGTGTATATAGGTAGTATTTAGTATAGACCTAGTATTTACTTGTAAATAAAGTAACACTTAAGCATTAGTAAATATCATTCAGTTTCTTTCTTATTTGTCCTTGTTAGGATTCATGTAGTTTTTCTTCTGATTTGATAAATGTCCATTTGAAGATTCTTATATTGTGGTATAACTACCCTTTATTAAGGATGCAAAATTCTCAGGAACTTTGAAAGTGGTAACTTTCCACCTGCAATTTTGGGAATTTTCATCTTGAAGGAATGAGTGATCTTGGATCAGGGTACTCAGTCTAACTCAAATGTTTCAGAAAAAGTAGAATCAAGTAACTGTTGCATCTGCTTTGTGGGAATGTTTTATATTTTATCAAGTGATTTGCTGCTTGGTATCATTTTTAACATACTTATGAGAAGAGTATTTGAATAGGTACACTTCTTTTACATCCTTTGTTACTAAAGTGAAATGTTTCCATACTTTCAATGGAAAACATGGCATTATTCTACAAAATTAAAGAAAGAAAAAAAACAAAGGTTAGATGTTCAATATTAATATTAAATGTGCTTAGGTAATGTAGAGAAGATGTATTTACATACAATTAGTTATGTATTATTAATCCCAAAGTAAGATGTTAAATTTGGAGATGACACCTCACCTGTGTACACAGAAAAGCTTGATTCCTTCGTGCATCTGCCTAGGAGATTTGCATGCCACTAGCCTTAAACTACCTTCCATGTAAAAAATGTGTTTAACTTGAACTGCACTAGTGCATGATGTCATAATCATGTGAAGATATCCCTCCATTAGTAGGAGGGCAACACAACCTCTTTGTACAGTAGCTCCTCTTAAACACAAAATTTTTCCAAAATTGTTAACTAGTTATTTGAGACTTGTGATAGTTTGCAACTGATTTAATTTTTTTATTCAAGTTTACCTGGTTTAGTGTTGGAGTTTCACATAACCAGTGAGATTTCTTTAATTTCACTTAGAAAAAAAATATTTGGTGATTACCTGTTGTGATGAATTCTCAAGTGACAGTAACTTCCACTTCATCTTGTGATAGTGACAATGCTCCTAAGATGATTCCTGTGGCTACTTGAGGCTTGCTGTCTGTGAAGGATATGACAGCCATTATTTAATATGTTGTTGGTTCCTTCATGCACACTGAGCCTCCTTTTCCTTTCCATTCAGCTGATGTTCCTTCTCCCAAGTTTGAACATGACCAGGATGACAATTTTGACTGGCTATTTCCCCCACCAGGGTTTGTTCTAGACACAGCTTTATCTGTGGAGAAAAATCCTCATCCTTCTGATTTTTTTTTTTTTACATGTTTTTGCAGGTCAGTTCTTTCTTTCTCTTTCCTCTGTGTCCTTCAGTTCCTTCTGTACTTTAGGACACAAAACTCATAATCAAGGTTACTTTGTCTTCCCCTCCTTCACTTGATATTAGGATCCATGCAGACTCGTTTCTCAATAACTGCACACCTGTACTAACATGCCTCTTCCTCCTAATCTACTTTCTTTTTGTCTTGACTTAAAGCCATTCTTTGTTTTTGTTCTTTTTCCCTGCTCAAGGGATGGACCCCTTAACTTTTATTTCTGATACGATATCTTGCATCCTCTCACAAAGTAGCTTTTCTCAATCAGTACTGTTCTATACTGGTGCAAATTTTCAACACTCATCAGTAGCCTTCCACCTTCTGCTTCTGCATATCCACATGTAAATGATTATGCAGCAGCTCTCCACCAATAGGAGCACAACACAACCCCCATTATAACCAGTACCCTCTCCACATTTGTACTCATTAATCACTTCTCGATTGGCAGTAGTGCCATACAAACACATTTGTTTTAGCTTGCAAGTTTGTCAAAATTTTCATTACACTATAGACTTAGTTTTTCTTTAATATTTCTTCACTTTTTCACCATTTTTTAATTGTGAAAGGTTGCTTTTCCCAACTGTTCTTTTTCAATTTTTTTTGCTTCAAGTTTAGAATTGTCACTATGCACTCACAGTTTCAGGTAATTACATGTACCACAGCTGTTACTGCTGTTGCAGGTTTCTTGACTAATACTAACAGGTTGAGTACTCCAATTATCGGCCGAGGATGAGAAATGTCCACATTCATGCAACCTTCAACACCACACGAGGAATATCTTGCCACATGTCTGCTCCTGGGGTTTCTTACAGGGGGACAAGAATTTGGACAGCCTAATCCCTCCGCCCCCCCCCCTCCTTGAATATGCTTCCTAGTCACAAGTGATATTGGGGGATTGACCCAGACCTCCTTCACCCTTTGTAGAATTAATTATTCAGGTTTGTGCTGCCTTATTCTTATCTACTGTTTCCTATGATTCTTAACCTGCCATCCTTGGTGAAGAATCTATGGGCCAATATTTAGTGTTACCTCCCTCACCTAATGTTGGGGCTCATCCCCAGTATTTTTGGGATCAATTTCGGTCGGGTGTTAGTATGCCTCTTATATCTGAAGATCATGCTTATGCATTTCATAGATTCTCCTTCCCTTCTCTTGATTCCCAATGTTTGTAATCTCTCATTACATTGTGAGGTTCAAACCCTATTGCATCGGTGAATTTCTCACAACCTCAATTTTTCTGTATCGGACTGATGTTGTCCACAATTCTGGGAGCATTATCAACTATGCACTTGCTGGCTCAGACAAATCACTTGCCATTTTTACTCGAGTACATTTACCTGCTAATTCTTTCTTGCGTGATGAGGTGTTTGGGGTTTTTCCCACCTCATTGGAGACTGGTATTGAGTACACTCATCTGCATAATTCATTATCTCCTTGTTAGCTTCTTGTTTATTCCAACCCCCTCATACTGTTTCTGCATCTTGCCCCACCCCCCATCCAACCCTCTGCTGGTCCTGGCTTCTCATTCTTCATCTTATCGCAGTTGAGTTTTTACTCGAAGGTGTTTCTGAGGGTTACACTGTCAGTAACTAAACCACAGAGTCGGGGCCAGGCTTTTCCATTTTCCCCATATGTGGACACCATTCACAATGGATCCATCGGTCCTACAGGTTCTTTCAGAGGGTCTGGCCCTTCACTTCCATTTCTCTTTCCCATTGTTTCTTCATCCCATTGCATTCCCCCCAACCAAAGGATCCTGTTTTTTGTCAGCATCTACAGGAGGTGGTTCAGAACTTACTTCGGAAAGAGGCCACAGAACTTGGGAAACCATCTCAGCCTTTTATTCTCCTCTGTTTGTTATACCCAAAAAAGACGGGAGATTGGCGACCAGTTATATATTTATCGTCCCTGCTTCATGCCAGAGGCCTTCATTTCCATCATTACATGGACAACTGTCTACTTTTGGCTTCCTAGCAGGTCAAATCTGCTGTTCATACTTAGTTTCTTCTTCGAGAGCCTGCCAAGGTGGGTTGGCTCATCAAGATGGAGAAGTGGTTCCTCACACCCACACAATATCTGATTCATCTGGGTGTGTTTTACAATTACCACATCAGCCAGGCCTAGCCTTCTTCCCTTTGTTTATGGAATATGGAACATCTTGTTCTCAGTCTATCAACCTCACCTTCTCCTACTGCATGATAGACCCTATCTTTTTTGGGTACCTTTGGTCTCCATCTTTGGCTAACAGATGAATTCTTCAGGTTGTCACCCATGGTCATCTCTCCACTTCACTTTTCCTTCTCTCATTTTTTCAGTCTCCTTTCCTCCACCCTCCAATCCCATTTATCTGGATTATTACTCTCTTCTCTTTATGGTCATCCCCAAGGAGACTAGGGAATTGTATCTGGTTATCAACCTGTCATCTCTCAACCAGTTTCTTGTCATCCCTTGGATCCATAGCAAGGGTTTCTTTTCTCTAGTGGTTCTTTTCACTCAGTCTGTGGGTGACCAGGGTTAACATTTGAGATACATTTTTACACATTCCATTCGCCCTATCCTCCAAATGTTTTCTTGGTTTTTTCCATTAGGGTTGAATCTTCTAGTTCTGTGCTCTTCTTTTTTGGCATTGCGTCTTCCTCTTATATCTTCAGTTGACTCATGGGGGACATTTTCCCACCTTGTTCATGGATTGAGGTTGAGGTTCCATTATTACATGGATGATTTTGTGAAATTGGTCCATCTGCCACTCCCTTCTTCCAGGCTGATCTACTGTGGCCCACCTTTTGGCCTTTTTCCTATGGTTATTCAGCCATGGATTCTAGGTTTCCATCATCGCTGGTTATCTATTCACCTAAAAGTTGATTGGACCTTGTCTGACCTCAGTAATGCCAGCCACATAATGTGGTATAAAATCTTCAAGATGTGAAAATAAATTCATCCATAAGACTGAATGAAGTTGTACCAAAGTGGATGGTAGATTTAGACATCACCTGATGCAACATTCGAATACATACCAGAGATGCTGAGTTGGATTGATATCCAGAAACTGTGGTGGCCAGAGTATATGCATGAAATCTGAGCCAAGGTACTTTCCGCATGTCATCTAGCCTTTTAGTGGGATGAGAGTTCCTAAATCGCACCAGTTGAACATTTTCAGACTAGTACACAATCTATAGTAGTAGAATGAACTGTTGGCACAATGTACTCAAGAACAAATGGTTCCTGACATTTCTGCCTCACCTGGATCTTCCTATCAGTTTGAAACAGTGTAAAATAATACTTGTTAGACCACATGACTTTCTTGCATTAGCCCAGAGTCCATTCTTAGTGGTTACAGCATCACTCTAGATGAAGTATCCAATTCTTGTCCAAAACTAGAGGCTTGTGTAGAGATGCTGAGATACCTGGTATAAAATCCAGTTCTGTGCAATTCTTTGTGTAGTGTCTGATTAATGTGCTGTGATCCTGCCCATGTTGAACACCCATTACTTCTTGTAACCATTTCATACCTGTGACATCCCATCATGAATCTAAAGAACTGTTGATCTCTACTGGGGTTTGTTTCTATAATGACCAGAATTCTGCTTTTTGGTCAATGTTTTTCTCCTGTTTTTGTATTTCAGGTAGACCTGAGATATTGTATTTATAGACATTTAATCAGTTTAGCTACTTTCTTGAGGGACTCATGCTTCCATCTACTTTCATGCACCTTCTACTCATCCATGTTATGTATTGACATTCTCTACTGTAGCCCCTGTTTTAGCACATTTTTGATGATGTGGAAAACTGTGACCCAGTTTATTTTACATACTAGTTCACTGGTTCAAATCTTAGCAGTAGAGAATATTCTGTAATATTAAGGTCAGTGAGTTTAAGAAGAATAGTAATATTAAAACCCAGTTACCAGATGCATATTGCCAATTACAAATATAAAGTTAAAAATACTTTAATAACTTCCAGAACTTGTTTGAATATATCAGTTCTGTTTTTTCAGAGACTTGTTGTCTGTCTTGAAGAAAGTCTATATATACACAACATCAGGGACATGAAGGTTTTACATACAATAAGAGATACACCACCTAATCCTCATGGAATATGTACACTCTCTGCTAGCAATGACAACTGTTACTTGGCTTTTCCAGGCAGTAACACAATAGGAGAAGTTCAAATATTTGATGCTGATAACTTGGTAAGATTTTTATTTATTGCTGTTGCTGTTGGATACAATGCAATAGAGCTGGTTAATTTCATGCTATTAGCTGTTGTATCAAGTTACTCAAAGTGGTGTATTGGCTGCTAGTCATCATTATGGTAAAACTAAATAAGAATTAGTGGTATTTGATAAACATTTCATACTTAAGTTTTTTGTTCAAAACGTTAAGTATTATTTACTGAATGATTTAGTAATATGTTTTATACCTTTTGTCCTAGTTGACCACATAATTCAAAATTAAATTAACCTGCTTATGAGTCATGGTTGTAACTGCAAAAGATTTTTGAGACTTTCACAAATGTTTTTAATGTTCAAATGCTGCTGGAACTTGCACTTTAGAAAAACATCTTGCTATCACTGAAGAAAATTGTAGGTATATAGAATTAGTTTAAACATCAAAACTGTCAAAATATTGGAAAAAAACCCAACAGACTTAAAAACTGATATAAAAAGTTAGCTGCAGATTTTTTTCATATTCCTCTTAATTTCTCCATTGTAGCTTGAAATCAGAGGTGTGTAAAAGAAGTAGCATTTCAAACCAATGTTTGCAAAAAAATGACTAATCACACTTCAGCAAAAATGACTATTCAAACCCAATGTTTCAACATATACCTTTTTCAAGAGTTAGAAAATAACATAAAGTACAAACTGATAACTGAAAAAAACAAACACAACAATTAAAAACTGACTTAACATTGGTAGTGTCATATGTTATTGCACACATGTTAAAAAGATTTATAATGAATAAGCAGCAGAAAATTGCAACTTATTAAACAAAAGGCAAAGATAATAATAATAATTACAAAGGCCAAGTATTTTTTCTGTTTATTTTAGGTTAATAAGAATGAATCAGGAGGCACTTTGAATTTATGATAAAGTAAACTATTATATTTTGCTAAGAATTTTATGTTAAATGGTGTTTTATCTACTCCACCATATTTCACTAGAAAGTGTTCGGCAGTGGCCTCTGTAGAATCAAGATTCATGGTAGCATGGATGTGTTCCTTAAAAATGTGCTTGTACTGGATGACTGGTTTCACCAATGTATTTATCATCACACTGGTATATGTCATACCATATATTACATTTTTAACAATGCAAAGAGTTCTCTACTCCATTGTTTATAGCAAGACAATATTTTGCTGTACAATCACTTTTCTTATTGAAAGCCAAATGAATAAGTAATTTTTAGTACAATTCTCTTGTTCCATACAATACATATATTTAACCTAGATTTTTGAAAGCTTTGCGTAAATGCTGATTGAAGAGCTCCTCAACAAAAGATAGTCTAGATGTCATTATCAGTCTGTGAAGGCTAACTGAACTGCTTTTGTCCAACTCTGTTTGAATGAAATCTTTTAAACATTTCTGAAATATAGTTATCAGGGTAACCACTACAACAAAGAAGTTTTCTTAAGTCTGACCTAGTAGTTGTTTTACTGTCATTTATGTTGCAGGTTCGTTCAATTCATTTAAGTTGTCCAATAATTTTACATCAGTCAGTATTAGGTGGATGTTGTGAGTTTAAATATAAAATCAATGGTTTAATAGATTGTTTTCAGTACAATTTAGTAATAAGTTTGTTATTATCAAAAGAAACATTTCACCTAGGATAAATGCAGAGAAATAAAACTTAGTAAAATAGGACTACACAATAAATTTGAGAAATTTTCTCCCTAAAATTTCAGAGCTTACAAAGGCATGCATAAAAATTACAATAAGAGCAACAGCAGTGTTGTCACCGATAGCAATACCCTGTGTTTGTTTGTTGTTGTTCATTAAAACATCAAGAGTATTCTCGACCAGTTGAGATGGTACGTCCAAAGTGTCAATGAGGAAAGATTTGATTTCATAAGGTTTATAACTGCATTGATTCCTTCCAGTATGAGAATATTGGGCCACATGGCAACAACATCAAGAGTGAATAACACATCCATGATACCATAAATCTTGATTCTAAGAAAAGGCACTGCTGAACACTTTCTAATGAAGCATGATACATTAGATAAAACACCATTTAACATTGAGCTCATAACAAAATGTAATAGTTTTTTTTATTATAAATTCAAAGTATCCCCTGATTCAATCTTATAAGCTTAAAATAAATAAAATAATGCTTGGCCTTTTTAATTATCTTTTTTTTTTTTCAATCACTTGTGATTTGCTGTTGTTTAATCACTAATTCTTTTCAGCATGTATGTGATAACGTAGGACATTACCATTGTTAAAATGGTTTATAATAGTTGTATATGTTCTCTTCAATGATCACTTTGTATTTGTATTAGATGCTATAATCCTTGAGAAAGGTGTTTGTCAAAATATTGTTGTTGTTTTTTCTGGGTTGTGATTAATATTTTTCGTTTTTTGTAAACATGGTTTCAGTCCTTCAATCTGCTCTGCAAGATTTCAAAACTAATACATATTTCAGATCCATCTTTTGCTCCCGTGGATTACAGCTTAATAAGCTTTTCATTCGATGCCTGAACTCATCAGTGTGGCTGAACAATGAAAGAAAAAAGATTTTATGAAAGTGTGTATTGTAATATTTTAAAAGATGGTTTAAATGCTGAAAACTGGCACAATATTGGAAATCCAATAAGTCTAAAAATTGTTATAAACACAAGTTATCTGCACTTTGTTTTGTTTTTTGCATATCTCATAATTTTTCCATTGCAGCTTAAAGTCAGGGGTTCATAAATAAAGATAGCACTTGAGATTTATCTTTTCTCTGCAATGGTCAAGTTTAATATATTGAATCTTGTATGTAGTTTTGATTTCTTAATTCTATATACTCTTCCATGCATGTATAAAATTAGATTAGCTACTGTTTTTCATTGTCTTTTGGCTTAATATATTGGCTTGCTATTAAATCTATTGCCTGGATATGAAACAAATTGCAGAAAATCCAACTTTTGTCATAACACACACACAAGGAAACAAAAATATTTTGTTTTTAAATATTTTAAAAACATCATTTATTACCGTTAATTTAAAAGAAAGATATAAAACCACACGTATAGAAAAGCATAAAATACCTGTTTCATATCATCCAGGATACACTTCAGTTTCTAGAATAAAGTATTATTGATCAAGACCTACTTTACAATATAAAATTTCCCACATTTTTTTTTATCTTAAAGCTTTATATTTGTTTTAAACTCTCTCTGTATGTTGAACAAGAATACCAAAATGGAAACATTTGGAAAAAGGTTCTTCTAAAGTATGATATTTTTCCATAATATACTTATTAATGTGTTTGTTAACAGGTAATAGGCTATTATTTGCATTTTTGACAGGAGATTTGTGTAAATTTATTCTCAAATATAAACGTTCTGTTTCTCCAACATATATTTGCTTACTACAAATACAAGATAATACATAAATAACATTATGTGAATTACACTAAATCTAGAGTTTATTTTCTCTCCAGCAAGGGCCTGTAATATATTTAGTATATGTAATATAACATCTCCTACAAATGTAATAATTTGGTTTATTGCAGGGAAAAACACCTTCATCAGATTTATTTACTTTATTTTCCTGATTTAAGATAGCATATGAATTTTTAGGCTGCTTTTGTGATATGATTCATTTATTTTCAAACTTTGCATTTACAGTTTTATCTGAGGTTCTTTCTAATTCTTTTTGGATATCATTGATATTAATTTTAACTCCAGGGTAATGCTATGTTATAAAAGGAACAATTTGTTATTCTGTTATGCAATATTGTGCATGGATTTCCTCAAAATATAATGCAGAATTAAATCGTGTAAAATAAGGAAATTGTTTGTAAGCCCCATGTATTATTATGCAAGTATTTGGTATTAATACTGATATTTTTTCTATGTCTATAGTGACATATAGGCCTCTTCTTAATAAGTTTTTTTGAAAAAATAAACATCAGCTTCATAAAGTGTATTAAATAATAGTATTATAAATGCAGTATCAGAGTTATTTACTGTTTAGTAGAACTTGCTACTGTTACTCATTTCTTTTAAGATAGCTTCATTATCTGCTTGTTTGGTACTATGACTGATGCAGATTGTACCAGAGGTATGACTTCCATTTAATTTTTCAAAAGAAGTTTCTTTTTATGTATCTTTTAACTTAAAAAGTTATGTATTTCCTGCTATTTTACAATTTGTGTTTTCACTTTAAGTACTAAAATCATCAATTAAACATTGAATTTTTTTTCCAGAAAGTAGTCAAGATATGACCATTAAAATTTTTTCTCCAAAGCAGCTAACATATATATTTTCATACCTCTTTATTTAAAGAGTACAAAACTGACCTTATAAAATGTTAATTTTGATCATAAAGCTTGCAGGTTATGACAATGGTACAGGTGATCTGATGGAGCTCCATCTGAACCGACACTACCTGGAGGTTTTAAAGTGAGTTTCTTATATCATTTGTCATCCAATGAAAATCAAATTCATATATTTAATATTCCTCTGGTCAAGAACATATTCATCTTTTAGTCATCATATTTTTCCCTTAACCATTTTTTTCTAACTGACTACAAACAAGAAGTTTCAGCTGTATTATTACTATGCTTTTATCTCAACAATCCACTGTTACTTCACTATTAGAATTTAACATTATAGTTCTTTTTTATTTAATGTATCTAAAATCCTGAAAATGGAATTATAAGTGAAATTTCAGTTTGATTTTTCAGTATACTCTATCCAGATGGTTCTCCAGAAGACCATAAATGAGAAGTACCTTGTCATGGCCATAGCAACATAAAATAGAAATTATTTAAGGTTAGTATGAACTTCTTTAACATTGTATTTGTCAAATATTTATCACATTATCATGTATCTTTACATTAAAACCTTCTTTCTTTGTCATATTTGTTTGTACTTGATATATCTTTTTACTGCTGCTACTTTAACTTCTTTTGAAAATTAAGTGGGAGTTTTTCAAAAAAGCAACAAATTTCCAATTCAGTATCAAATAGATATTTGTGTACTATATTTGTTTTCCTTCCAAAGTACTTAATTAAATGAATTACACCAAAGCTAATGGTGATATGAGTAATGGTAGGCAGATAGTTTTTTGATAGAATTCTGGACAGAAGAGTAAAGTAAGTGAATGGGATTGACCACTGCAAACATCTGTGAACAGAACTCTGCATGTAAGTAGGCAAACATAAAAAGATAAATTGTTTACTTCCTTGTGGCTATATGTGTATTACTACTGAAATAATGGTCAGTACAGTTGCATGGTTATATACAGGCCCAAAATATGCTTTTTTTTCATCCTTTAGCATTTTTTCATAGTTATGTGTGAAATTTTTAAATACTTTTCAGCAAGCTAAGATCATGATACAAGCCCATGATAGCCCTTTGGCAGCTATGACTTTTAATCCTAGTGGAACCAAAATTGCTACAGCATCTGAAAAAGTAAGATTAGTGTGTTTACAGTTGTATTAGTATCTTGACTGAAAGATACATATTATATGAACCATAATTCTCATACTGTGAGACAAATAAAGACTTCTGTTTTACATATGCATAACAGTCAAAAGTAGTAGAAAATTCTCATCTTCCTGATAGTATAGAACTGTTTTCATATTTCCATTTGATTTAAAATAGCACCTCCTAAAATTTAAGGTGGGTTAATGTATTTAATAACTTTTTTGTTATGGATCTCAATTATTTACTTTCTAGATAAGGTTTATACTTATTGTTTCTTACAATTGAGCAGTAGACAGCATGAAGAATAATTTAATGAATCCAAGTGTCTTCCTTCTACTATTTCACTAGAGGTCAACTTCCCATGTGTTCATATATGATGTAAACAACCTGTTATTAAGTTGAAGGAGCTCAAGGTTTAGTTAACATATCAGATTAGGAGTATTTTTTAATCCATGTGATGTGTTACAAATAAACTGTTTGGGCTTTATAAAAACTTGGCTTAAATTATATTTTAAATTATCAATGTTATTTAGTTCCTGTTTTTTTAATTACATAACTTGCCTGGAAAAGCTTCGAAGTTATACAACATTTTCCTACATTTGTGAAAATTTTATATTTCTGGTTAACGTTGTGGCTTCATGAATATGATATAGAGGTTTTTTTTTTTTACTATATCTTGTAAGAGTCTGAATAACAGAACCTAAATCTTGTTTCTGGATCAATGGAATCAGCAGCTTGTTCAGTTGTTTCTCTTTAAATCTGTGTTCAAGGTTAATTTTTTTTCTGTGTGAAGGGACTCATCACTCTATATTAGTTGCCAAGTATTTTTTCTCTTGATGATTGTACAGCTTTTCTTACTTATACGGTGTTGATGTTAGTAAGATTTTCATGTATCCTAATCCTGTGAAAAAAACTTGCTATTGCAAGCTTTCATAGCCTGAAGGATATTAAAAGCAGAACTATGTTCATGCTCTTATGCAGAATGTTTGAAAAGGGGTTCTGGTTTGTGAGATCAAAAGCCAACACATATTGTGTGAAGCACAATTAGCATGTAAAGCATGCTAATGCTATGGAGGTCTATAAAAATAATTGCTTTAAGATTAAATATGGAAGCAACTTTGCATGAAATATAGTTTAAACAATTGCATGGCTGTTCACATAAAATCCACAAACATCACCATAAATCATCATTCTGTTGTAACACAGCATGGGGAGCATGACTTAAATTATTATGAATGTGTAAGTTTTATTATAGTAAATTATTTAAAGCTCTGGATACAACTGTGATAATCAGTAGTGTAACAAACATTTGTATATACATTTAACTTGTTTTAATATATTATTTAAAAACAAGTGGACTGAGTAGCTGTTTGTTTATTGTTGAAATTTATCACCAACAAGTCACAGACACGTACTGTAAAGAATAAGGCCTACAATACAGGGTGCTGCATTAATTTGCCTATTGAAAAATTCTGCTTAGCCCTAATAAGTGTATCTAAATTTCAAGTGACCCATCCAGAAAAGTATAATAACATGTCTGTCCATCAAAGCTGCAAACAATTCCAATATTACATCTCTATTGGCAAATTAAAAATATATAAAAGAAACCTTGAACTAGTATAACCCACTTTGAAGAAAATGGCCTTAAAGGAATAAATCAAATTTATAATTCCATTTACTCCCAAGTGAAACTATAATATTAAAACATTGAAGAAACATTCACATTTATTGTAAAACCAAGATACCCTACAGAAGCTAGTTAATTGTTTGAAATGTAGAGTACATCAATATGTAATCATTAATAACACTTTTGAAGTAGAAACTAGCAAATATCTAGGTAAAAAACAAAGAGAAAATTAGATGTAGACTTGAGGATCATTTTAAATATAATAATTTTGTAAGTTTATATTTTATCTCAGTTACAAACAATACCTTAGAAAACAATCATGGAAAGGAATTTAGCAAATTATGTATTTCACTGACCCTGAAACTGCTACTCAAATTTTAGTTTTCACTTTCCAGTAAAAACATATTTATATTCAAGCAAACAAAGTTCGGAACAGCTACACATGAACAAAAATATAGCATATGGGCATTAAAATGTTATTCCAACTTCAAGTTTTCCAGACAAATCATTTAACTCTTCATTATATGCTGTGTTACTCAAGTAGAGTGTAATTGGATATTTTACTAAAAATCTATTTGAAAGACAAATATAACAGTAATTCCTCTCAAATTTTGCAACACCATAATACAACAAAATTGTTGCTCAGTCCATGTAATTACATTTATTTTGTTTAGATTAAATTTTGTTTTCTGTAAAGTGAAACGTTTTAAAGATAATTTAAATTTGTGTGTGTGTATATATATGTATAGACACACACACACACACACTGTACATTTTTCCTGCATAAATCACAACTCAGAGTTCCTAAAAAGTACACGTATCTTTTAGTGCTTTAGTAACTGTAGCATGAGCACTGATTAGTATTAGTTATGGGTTTATCAAATGCAATGATCTTGAATCTAGGTTATATGTATGAAATGTATGATAATTCAAATTAAATCCTTCATTATGCAGGGAACAGTAATTAGGGTCTTTAATGTAGCAGATGGGGAAAAGCTATATGAATTTAGAAGAGGAGTAAAAAGGTAAAGATAAATAAAACTTCATGCAATACAGTAACAAATTCATTATTGATTACAGCTCATTTACTGATGTTCTAAAACAGCATTGTAAGCAAAAGTGGATAACTTATTTGATTGATAAGAATAATTACAGAGTTTCGTTGTTTTATTTTAAAAGTTTACTTGTGTAAAAAAAAGCTTTATGTACCTTGCTAGTTTATGGTGATGATAGTCTTAAAGTTTTTAAGTTTATAAACATAAACAGTATGCAACTTGGTTCAATTTAGACATACAAAATATGTTAAAAAATAATTGTTTCAAGCAAAAAAGTATACTGTTTTCATAGATGAATATTTCACTTATAAACAGTTCACTTTTGAATTTTTCCCAGTTTATAATCAGAGTTAAAAAAAAAGTAAATATGTAATCATTACTCACATTGTTACTAGCATTATAGAATGTTTAGTCCAGTACAGATAATTTTACTAGATATTGAATAAGTTATATCTTCTTTTGTTTAGGTGTGTCAGCATATACTCCTTGTCATTCAGTTCAGACTCAACTTTTCTCTGTGCCTCAAGTAACACAGAAACCGTTCATGTGTTCAAGTTGGATGATCCACGAGAAGTGTAAGATAAGAAGTTAATATGTTCATGCTTGAAATATTCTGTTTATTATGATCCATGAGAAGTGTACAATAAGAAGTTAATATGTTCATGCTTGAAATATTCTGTTTATTATGATCCATGAGAAGTGTACAATAAGAAGTTAATATGTTCATGCTTGAAATATTCTGTTTATTATGATTCATGAGAAGTGTAAGATAAGAAGTTAATATGTTCATGCTTGAAATATTCTGTT